TGCAGCTGTGGCCTGGGGATCGCGGGAAGTAGCCATTTCCCCAGCAAGGGTGATCAAGTGAACTGGAAACGTGAGGGTTCTGAATCTCACAGCAGTAAGTTTGAGAATGGAAGCTGGAGAAACACTGAGACAGTTCATTCATGCTCTCTGGTCCCTTTCATTAACTCCCTACAGTGTGATCTTCTGGAGTTTAAAGAAACCTTGAGGCCATGAAGACACAGGTATTTCCCTGCCCCCTCCCCCCATAACAGTCAATAGCCAGTAATTCTGGAAGCATCACCAAGCTCCACAGCCCCTCACTGCTAGGGAAGTGTCCCAGTTACAAAGGCTGACAAGCAGGGCAAGCAGTGGCTATTCATTCCAGAAAAACACTGGCTGTCTGACCCAAACCCCAAGCAACAGGTTAAACACAAATATACTCTTGGAATTTAGTCCTTCTGCTTCAGTACTGTGCACAACTACCCAGAACACGGTCCGATGAGGGTGGGGCTCAGCATCAACTCCAATTCCATTAGAACAGGCAACATTTCATTTCAGAAACACAGACAAATACATCTTCTGAACTGTCAGCGCAGCACTACGACCTGGACCCTACGAACTGGTCCTTGTACTCTGCTGAGCGCATTAGGTTAACTTGGCTTTATGAGAATGTTTGCTCAGGGTGTGCATTTTTCTGGCACAACACGGGAACCAGAACCATTCAGATTTTCTGTGCTGGATCTGTTAAGAGTAATAGGCCTAATCACTGCAAGGGCCAACTAATTTAATTTCTGCTTTTCTGTTGAAATTAAAATCTCTTGTACTGTCTGTTCACTGTTGAATGCTAATTCATTTTCTCAGCAAGATCAGCTCCTCCAGATATGCCACATACCTCCTAAGGCCTGGCACACAGTAGTAATTCAAGAAAGAATTCTGATAGTGGAATATCCTAAACACTAGGCACGAACTTAGTCCTTCAGAGGGAGCATGGCTGCTCTATGAATATGGCCCTGGAATTTTGCCAATCAAAAGCTTGAATACAGAGAAATACATGTCTTAACGAAGAGGGAACCAGCTTCCAGGCAGTTGAGCTGCAAGAATTCTTGATGTGTTTACCCTGAGGTAGGCTTTGGGCCATGCTGACCTGTAGAATGCCTTCTGTTTATAGGAAAAGGGTCCAAATGGGGAAGGAGAAAGGGGGGGAAGGAGGGAGGGTGGGAGGTATAGAAGCATATTTCACTTTTTATTCTAAGAACTAAATGTAAACCAAGCTCCTAGTGCCTGGCATGTTCTTTGCATGATCTCAACACACAGAATTTTCCTTCAGAAAGCTTACAATATATATTTGAATGCCTGGGTCACTTTGTGCACACACAGGGATGTGTGTGTGTGTGTGTGTGTGTGTGTGTGTGTGTGTGTGTGTGTGTGTGTGTGCTGGTACAGGTGTGTGTGTGTGGGTACATGTGGGGGCCAGAAGTCAACATTGGTGCTGTCCTCAGAACAGCTGTCAACCTTCTTTCTTTACCACAAGGCCTGTCACTGGGACTTCAGAAGGCTAGATTTGTTGGACGGTGTACTCTAGGGGCCTCTGGTCTCTACCCCTCCAGTACTGCATAAATCCAAGTGTGGTGTACATGCCTATAATCTCAGCCATTGGGAGGCTGAGGCAGGAAGACCAGAAGTGGAGGGTCATCCTGGCCACACAAGGAATTGAAGGTCAGCCTGGGCTACATGAAACTATCTCAAAGACAAAGAAAGTGGGGGCGGGGGGAGAAAGAGGATAGGAAGAGTGGACGGAAGGACGGACAAACAGATGGACAGACAGACATTATGCTAACAGAACTGTGACATATTCAAGTCCAGTGTTTTGTCCTTGACCCTGAGTCAAGAGTTGGCGTTAGAGGTTTGGACTCAGAGGGCCGTTCACGAGTGCTGACTTCCAGACACCAGGGAAGGTCACCTTCACACGACAGTCAGGCCGCCTCATCCTGTTAAACCCAGGAAAACTATCCCACAAACAGAGTAAGAATGGATTGTGCCCGGGACTCACATCACTTTAATGACTTTCCGAGAGCACCAACAAATTTAATTTAGAAAAGATAAATTTGGACTCCAGCTCATAAAATTAAGAAAAATATTGTTCCTAATGGTCAAATTTCTTAAATTGCCAGTTCTATTTAGGCAAGTGATTTATTTGACAAACAAGGCAAGCCTTAGCACATCTCTGCTTCCTCCCCTCTCCCCACCTCTCCTCTTCTCTCAGGGGGCGAACACGCATTGGCTCCTAGAGACTATGCATGGTTTTCTGTCTGTCATATTTAGGTGTCTCATGATAACCACACTCAGTTGTACAAATGCTTCTAGAGCATTTGTTCTGTGCAGAAGGTGAGACCACCATCTGCACAGTTTTCCACATGAGGCACCCTTGGGGGGCTGTCCCAACAGGACAGAGCTACAGAAGAATAGGGAGCCTCACTGCCCAGGCACTCCAGGTTCACGGACAGGTAAAGTGCAGGCTCCTGCCCTTCTGTGCTTTGTGTTTTTGGGGATATAGAGAATATCCCCAGGGAAGGTTCTTTCTATTGCCAACAGATGCAAAGGCCTGGAGCAAATGCAAAGCTTTGGAAATATTCCCTAATACTGGCTCTCTCACAACTTCTGTTAGTTCAGAATGCTTGTTTTTGCTGTCCTCTGTGGCTGACAACTTCCTTCAAGGTAGAATAATGATCCATTAAAAACAGATCCAAAGAAACATATTTAACAGAATGAATGCTTTTGTATCTAAAGAGGTTTTTGATCTTCAACAACCTTCTCAAAATCAACCTCACTGTCTCTGTGCTGCCGGCCCTGGCCAGGTTTCCAATGGGACAACGGCTGCTTTATTTTCTTTCCACCTGGTCTTCCTGGGAAGGCAAGTCAAGTTCAAATGTGTGGTTTGCGTGCATATGGTCCAAACTCCCAGAACACTTTTCCCCAGTGGCACTAAATTCTCGGCTTGTCTCCCTATCTCCTTCCCCTCTTTCTATGAATATTGTACTTATTTCCATTCAAAGGTCAACAAAACAGCTGTAACTCTCTTCTGTTTTTTTTTGTTTGTTTTTTGTTTGTTTGTTTTGCCATTATGAAGTGTAACAGGGCTATTATTTTGTTAAGCTGCATCAGAGACAGATACTACCATCCCCTGGTAGAGCCAACTGTGCTGAGGGCCAAGATCTCGATTTCAGTCTCCACATCAAATCCTACACCCTGCTGGTATCAGGGAGATTAATGTGGCGGCTCCTGGGGATATCTACAAGACGTTTACTTGTTTACTGTACTAAACAAGGTGCTGTACAGTTTGAAAACATGTCTTATGCAGCCTCACATTTCAACTCTTTCCTTAGGGACTGAGGCGTGTAAAGAGGCTAACCACTATAGAAACTGTGCTGGCACCGACTCATCATCATCGTCTTGGTCGCCATTATCTTCCTGCTTCCCTTCATCTTCCCTCATCTGTTTCCCGCTTTTATTGGCCTCAGCTGCCCTATTCTGCTGCCCCAGGCTCTCCTTCAGCTTAGCATGCAGCTGTGTCCTTTGCATGCTTCTGTCCTTCAGGTCAGGATTCCTTGTTCAAGCTGCTGTCACCACTGTTGTGCTGTCCCGTGTCCCCAGTGTCTTTGGGACATTATCAATGGGTAGGCAGGCTGTGTGATGACATTCAGAACAGAACAGGAAGGCCAAAAGGGGCATGGATGCTCTGGATCCTTAAATGCCTGTCTTTCCCATGTCTTTACATGTTTCTTTCTTCTTAGCAGACATGGCCTCTCAGCTCTGCCAACCTCTAAAAAGTTGATAGAAGCACATGGGTGCTTTTCCCTGCTCTTCCTGGCAGCTCTGCAAAGCAGACGCACAGGGTCTCCTTGGCCTAGGTTTGGCTGCTTTTCCTCAGCCAAGCGTCCAGTCAGTGCCTATCCAGTTATCACTGGCTGATACTGTCTCCACAGAGCCCAGTGTACAGTCATGGTGCCTTCTCCCCGGCACTTCCCTGGATCTTCACCTCCTGACTGTAGAGCAGTGGGCCAAGAATGTGTGTGGGGGAGGAGAAACCCCATGTACTGGAACAGAATGTGGTAATGGAGACAGGGATACAACAGAGGCAACCCCCAGGGAAGCACTGGTTTCATGCTTCCAGGAACATTCTGTCTAGTCTAGGTGTGTCCAACCCGCAGCACACATATGTTCCATGGCAGCTGTCAGTGTGGCCCAACACATTTGTATACTAACATCATGTCATATTGTCAACAAGTTGGACACACCTAGTAGTTCACCACTGCCTTGGTTTTACGATGACCCTCCTTTTCACCTGATTCTGATCAGAACCTTTGCTAATAGAATATTCTGTCACCACTAACTTCTGCTCAGCATCTAATTATTCCTAAATACCATTTGGCTGCCTGTCTTCTGATTGGCCATTTTCTGAGGAAATAAAGTTAGGTTAAGTAAGCACGATGTGAAAGCCTGGATTTGATTTCAGCATCTCCAAGTGTCTTCTGGGCATGGAGTCTTATAAAAAACAAATCTCTTATTTGTTCTGGTTAATTTGATATCACAGCACCCATAGTTGGAGAGTACATTCCCATCTGTACATCACCCACAGCAATTTCAGATTGGTAAACATGTTTGTCCTGATGGTTACTGAATATTTAAAGAGGTACCATTTCTCCCAGGTCCCGTTTTCCTCTGCACTCGTGACTAATATAATGTTATTATACAGTGGGGACTTGAATCCGACAAATTTCTATTTCAGTAATTTCTCTCCATCATCTGGCTTTATAAAGGGAAAAACATGCATCCATTGTCACGTAGGGAGTCTGGGATCTTTCAAATGTGTAAGAACTCCAGAGGGAGCACAGAGGGCACAATGTTGGGTAAAATGCAAGAGGCAAACACCTAAGTTCCTTCTTTATCAAGGAGGGATGAGCAGGAGACGGACGGATGGACGCCAGAGCTGGGGGCGCCAGGCTGCACTTGCTGTACCTCACCTCTTGTTCCTGTCCTCCAGCTGCAGCGTGTACACCATGGCCTCAGCAGCGTGGATCTTGGAGTTGCTGTCTCCCCACTTCAGCTTCAGGCTCTGTGGACCAGATGCAGCACATTCGAGCCTAGGAGGCAAGGGCGGTAATGGCCGAGTTTTCGCTTTAATGAACTGACTAAATGGTCCAACTCCAATTTCATTGATAGCCTGAATTCTGATCCTAGAGGTGAGGGGGAAAAAAAAGACAATGTAGGTCTAGGAAGTTGGATTTTCTTCGTTCAAAACAAACATTTGCTGGAACATTTACTAAAGCAATTCCCTAAAGCGATGCTGTGGAAGAACAGCTCGAGTAGACCCTGGGCAGCTCAGGAGAAGTTATATGCTCTGTTTCTAAACATAGCAAAACAGTGCATTAGCAAATATTCCTTAGGATTTTGACTGGAAAAAAGCAAGTCTGCTGTCTGAAGGACTCCTACAGACATGCTCTTATATTCTAGCTCAAAGCCAGCTTTGGCATTAGACTATACATAAAGAATTCATTAAAAGGAGAACACATTCCCAACAACCCTTCCACAGGACCTTTGGCCTCTCCCCTTACCAATGACTTAGCCAGAGCCAGAGATCACCTGCTAGTAGTACCAGGGTATCATTTAGGTTATACAGAGCTCTTAACTGGATGCTTACTGTGTGCAGTAAAGATGTATCAATCCTGCCAAAATTTAAACTCTAATAGAGTTAAAATGTATACATGAAACCTTACACAGTGGGATACGATCCCTATTTCCCATTTTCTTCTACTTCTCAACTTGCTGCTCAGCCACAGTTTTCCAAAGTCACCGGCCCACACTTGCCTGGTGTGCTCCCCACCCTGCACACCTCTTTGCATGGTGTGTTACTGAGGCCTGCCCCCTCCCCTCCAGGGACATTTCTCTCCTAATGCTCGGAACAGAGGATTCTCCGTTCCTCCGCTCCTACTCTTCCCTCCTCTTGCTTTCTATAAATACAAGGACTGACTACAGTTCCGCTTTATTAACGGAATTCTCCAGTTAACCTCATGTCTCCACAGCATCACCCATGTGAAGTCACTCAGGTCTACGGCTTCTAGCTTCGGCTTCTAGCTTCCTTATGACTCCTGACCACGCCTCCATCCGGGGGCTCTCTCCCTGGATTCCTTGCTAAGTTCATAGGAATCTGAACTCAAAATCACTGTGATGACAGAGAAGAGTAGTGCTAACAGCTCAAGAAACTTCCATGTTCAACCGTGTTTTGAATTTATAATAAATAATATAGTCTAAGGAGAAATATTTAGGGAGCAGTTCATTTTTACATATTTCTATGATTTAATTACTTTTATGTAATTCTCACTTAATAGCTTTTGCTTGTTTTTTTTCCAAACAGGGTTTCTTTGTGTAGCCTTAGCTGTCCTAAAACTCGCTCTATAAGCCAGGTTGGCCTCAAACTCACACAAATCTACCTGCCTCTGCTCCCCAGTGCTGGGGTAAAAGGCATGCACCACCACTCCCGCCCCTGGTTCTCACTTATAGCTTGTATTGCTTGTACTTAAATACAAAGTACCACTTAAACATCACATGTGAGGCAAATTCTTCCAACGTAGAGAGTATATAAGTCAGCCTAGAATATCTGTAACTATTAGAAAAGAAAGGTTTCTTCTACATGAGACAGAGCACAACACTCCACCCCTCTTATTCATTTTGGGTAAAGGACACAGCTACTCCAGGACTCTGAAAAGTTAAGTGCCAGCTAGCACACGTCAGGAACGAGAGTTGGACTTCTCACAAACCAACAGTGAGTTTTCCGTTTCCCCCTTTATCATCCCGGGGGCTGAACTAAGCTTAAAAGTGGGCCTCTGTGTGGAAAGAGCTGCAGAGAAAGATCAGTCCCCAGGATGTGTATGGCTCTGAATGGGGTGGGAAATCTCCTTTCTTTATTCCCCTATTTCCTAGACCTTAAGCAATTCCATCTTGCTTATAGCCTAAAGAAGAAAAAACAGATGACCATATCAACTGATAGATTATCTAACACAATCCAGCTTTGCAATCAAAATGCTCTGCAAACAGAAGAGAGCCTCTTTGATCTGAAAAGGGACATCTAAGAAACAGGGCCACAACTACCATGACAGCTGTGAGAGAGGAAATACTTTGCCGTTAAGACCACGAGCAAGAGTTGGCATGGATGCCTGGTGTGCTCACCCTCCTATTCAGGGGCATTTGTTAAGAATACCAACCAGTACTGAGAGCAAAAGGTATAGGGAATGAGAGAAAAAAGAAATGGAATCCACATGATGCCAATGAAAACATCATAGAGAACCACCCAAACAGACAGACCTGGAGTAGTCATGGACAGGACGCTTCACAGCAAAAGTGTCCACTTTCCTAGAATTGACCTATAGCCATAATGTGGTTAAAATCCACCCTGGCACCTGGGAAACTGAAGCGGGAGGATTGAGGGCCAGCCTGGGCTCAAGTGTAAGGCCTTGTCTCCCAAAATAAATAAATACATAAGGAGATAAAGACAAGCTAATTCTAAAAGTTACATGGAAAGGAAGTGAACTAGGCACCACAGATGTGGAAGACAGAGCAAATGTGGCAGAGTAGTACCATCTGACTTTAGGACTCACTATAGAGCTACAGTGGTCAAGACAGCATGGTAAAGAGAGAGACACACAGATCGACGGAACTGAAGAGAGGCTCCAGAAATAGACCTACACAAACATGGCCAATTGATTTTGCTGGCAAAGGTGTGAAGGCAGCTCCATGGAGGAAGGACAGTCTTCTCAGCAAATGGATCCGGGAGCAATTGGATGTCAAGAGAAAAAAATAAAAACATCAACTTAAACTTCACACCGATACACTGGCCGAAGATCTAAATGTAGAATACGGAACTTTTAGAAGACGACACAGGAGACATTGCAATTATCTAGAACTTGGAAAAGAGTTCTCATCTGTGACACAAAAAGCATGTGTGTGACGAGGGAGAGAGAAAGGAAAATCTGGGTCTGACTGAAATGAAAATCTTTTCCATGTTAAGAGGATGGAGATGAGCTAGACCGGGAGAGAAGACAGCACACTGGACATCTGACAAAGAATTTATATTCAGAATATAGAGTGACCTCCTCAGAGCTCAAAAGGAAGGGTGGAAGGTGTACTTCAGGCAGAGTCCCAGGACTACACATGTCTTCCCAACCTCTCAATCTCTGTCCACCCATCCCTAACACACACACAGACACACACACACACACACACACACACACACACACACACACACACACACACACACACGGTAATGGGAGAGAGAGAGAGAGAGAGCAAGAGGAGGGAGGAAGAAAACACCAAACAATACAAAATAAACTGACATCTAGAACAGACACCAAGGAGGACATATGGCTGATAATAAGCAAGGAAATGCTCCACATCGGTCATTTGAAAAATGTGAATCAAAACACCAAGATACTATTATACTATTTTATATATATACTAACTTTGTATGTTTATACATATATGCATGTACATTTGTGTGCCTATAAAATGTGTGCATGAACAAACCAATGAGATACAATGCTTCTTGAAAAATCCAAACATATATCAATCATTTATGCTCTTAGGTGTTTACTCCAGAGACATACATCAAACATTTATGGTCTTAGGCATTTACTTGAGAAAACGCAAGCAGTTTACAACAGTTTTATTCATCACTTCTGCAACTAGGTGAGGTCTGAGGTAGAGCAAATCCTTATCCCTAGTAGATGGCAGAAAGAAAGGCCACCAGCCATCACGGAGGATTTCTATTATACAAGGAGAAGTCACCTAAAATAACACTAAAAGTCTAAAACTTGCCTTTGCTTTTCACAGGGGCCCTACAAATGCTGCACAGTATTAGTGGCTGTCCCCTTCTCTACACCCAGGCCTGAAGGGCAATAAATGACTTGCAACCAGGGAGGAGAAACCCTTGTAAAGCAAGCCTCCATGCTGAGAAGCTCCGATGAGCCCCTCTCCTCAGGAAAAGAGAAGCAGGCATCAGGTCTAGCTAGCTCTTCATCAATGCACAGCCTGCACTTTTGCCTACAAGGTTTATCTGAAGGACTCTGCAGTGTCCAAGCCATCATTTCTTCCCTTTTGCTGAGGACAGGTACATCTCCACCCCCAGGCCTAGATGTTTCCTGCAATTGCTGGCCCACAGTCCTTCGGGACCAAGCTCACCCTGTACACCAGGAAGCTCTTTATCCTGTCTTGTGACTTGTGCAGCCCAGCAGTCCTCAGCACACAAAAGGTATGGGTTGCTTTGGGCTGCTCTTCTGCTGTGCTCAACACAAGATGAAATGAGACAAAACCTAAGAGATGAGAATCATTTATAGGAATAAAAATGGTTTTTAAAAAGTCAAGTTTTAAATAGTTTGATTGAATTCACTTACTTCCTCAAAGCCTCCATAGCAGTGGTTCTCAACCTGTGGGTCGTGACCCCTTTAATGGGAGGGTCCAGATGGCCCTTTCACAGAGATCACAAATCAGATACCCTGCATATCAGATATCTACACTACAATTCATAACAGTAGCAACATTACACTTATGACGTAACAATGAAACTAATTTTCTGGTTGGGGGGTCACCCAACATGAGGAACTGTATCAAGGGGTGGTAGCATTAGGAAGGCTGAGAAGCACTGCTCTATAGTACTTCACATCTCTAGGCCTATGGCTCTCTAACTGGTTATTTGCTGGCATTTAATCTTCTTTTTGTATAACACACCATCAGCCACCAGTGCCAGCAAGAATACCATGGTGGCACATGACTCTCCTTAGCTGGGCATGCTTCTCCCCTTGAAAACACTGACATCAGTCGCCAGCACCAGCAGGAATTCTGTGGTGATAGGTTTCTTTGAGAAGTCATCTAACACCTTTAAGCAATGGTATCCTCATCAGTAAAAGGCAATGGCACCATGTTCGATGAACTGATTAATGATTAACTAAGATGAGGGAAATGGGGCATATTTCTTAATTTTCAGTATCTTCCAGTCTGATTCAACCTGAAAATTATCTGAAGTGGCCAAAAGCACATTGGTGAACTCCAAAATGATACTTTATGGAGTTCTTGACACAGTGGCTACAACAGCCTAGACTTCATATCACGATGCCACGTCTCATTCTAACCACAGGCCAGAACCTTTGTCTCTTCGACCATGGAGAGAACCGTGGCTCAGCTGTGT